TTAATATCCTCTACCATTTTTGTTTGATAATGATTTTTCCAAGTTTTAAACATGGCTATTTCTATAATAACATCTCTATTCATGTTAAAAATTGTGTATTTATCTGCTGGGTATTATCTACACCCCCTGTCTTTGGATTGTACCAGCTAGAGCTCTATCTGCAAAATGTTTATCAGTCTTTAAAAATATTCTTTCTATATAATGAGTATAGGTGTTGTCTAAGAAAGTTTTCTGGACACTTGGACAAACTATCCTACACCCACGACACAAAAGAGCAGAGTTTTATTTGGGATCCTGGTTAGCTGGCTCAAAGGCAGAAGTGCCATCGTGGAAAGGCCTGGGTAGGGCATAAGCTTCTTAGCTCATGGCAGCTGAGAAGCAGATAGAGAGGACGAGCCTGGGATGGACACACATCCTTCCTTGTCAGAGCCCAGAGACAAGCCTTCAACTAAGCCCCACCTCCAAACAGCACTCTTAGCTTCTGAAACATTAGCAGATGAATACTCTGATGTGCATAACAACCCCACAGTCCACTGACCTCTCCCAAGCCCTGCTTCCAAGTTCATGAGTATTTTGACGGTTATTCTAGATCTAAACCATGACAGGTGCAATCACATTGAATATTTCACCAATAAAGATGCCGTTCTGCCTTTCCAACATGGCAACTCAAACTGTACCAACTTATTCTAATTGTTCTAAAAATAATATATACATTATACATAGCTAAAATAATTCTTTTCAAAATCTTGACATACTCACTAAGCAAAAAATTAAGAGTTGATTGATTGATTGATTTTATCCAGAAACCTGGTCTTTAACAAATATATGTGCTCATGCATGTCGATATTTTTCAGATTAAATATGCTTCATTCCTAAACTTAATTCGTGTTCACTTTTGAAAATCCAACTGAAAACATCAAATGCAATGAAATGCTGATGGAAAAAGCAAAGATTAAACAGAATGATATGCTAAAGATGCAGAAATTTTGAACAAGTGCACTGAAATGCCACTGATTTGATTTCTACCAGGCAAGAGAGAGACTGTTGAGAGAAGTATAAACAGAAGAATTTTGGATTCTACCCCCTACGCCCATGACAAACAAACCACGGTTGGAGATATAAAAAACAAAGTCCTGTAAAAGATGTACTATTAAATCACTGAGCTTAACACAAAGCAAGACTTCTTCTTGAGTTACTCTGCAAATTCTGAAATTGTAAGGGTGTGTTTCCAGAGAGAACCTAAGAATCACCCAAAAGTTAGAAATTTTGTCCCTATCAATGTGAAGAAAAAATAATCACTAGAGTTCAGAATTTGCTAAAAAGAAGCAATCTTCATTGATAAGGGGAGTCCTTCTAGGGTGGTCCCAACAGTGTTAAATAGATCCTTGCCCGGAGCCTTATTTTATGTTAGTTTTTGGATGAATTATAATAATCAGAATTTTTCTTTTTTCCTCTTTTCTTTTTCTTTCTTTCTTTCTCTCTCTCTTTCTTTCTTTTCTTTCTTTCTTGCCTGCTTGCTTTCTTGTTTTCTCTCTTTCCTTTCTTCTTGCAGACCACCTTTCTTTAGACCAACTTTGCTATTCTGTCCAGAAAGATCTAAATCTTCAGAGCTCAAGTAGTCCTCAAACCTCAGCCTCTAGAGTAATTGAAATCCACTGTTCTTGATTCTAGGGAGCATGCAAAAGACTGCTGGGAGAATTATAATCAGCAGAGTCTTGTAAGCTTTACCCACCAAGACTCGACAACCACAAATGGAAACATAACAAAACAATGCTCAAAATGATGTACTATTAAACTACTGAGTTTAAAAACAAAGCAAAGTTTCTCTTTGAGGTCATTATAAATTCTGAAAAGCAAAGATTTCCTAAGAGAACAACCAGAATTATTTCAAGACAGAAATACTGCCCATGTCAAAGTGATGAGACAATAATCACTAGAGTGCTGAATTTGCAAAGAACCACACTCATTGAAAAGTGGATATCTCTTATAGATGGGCTCAGAGGTACATAGAGCCTTGTGAGGAGCTTTATTTAATGTTAGCCTTTGCTTGAATTATGGAAGTCCAATCCTTATTATCTTTTTTCTTGTTCTTTTTTTCCTTCTTTCTCTACTTTTCCTTTCTTTTCTTCTTTCTTCTTTCCTTTCTTTCTTCCATTCTTTCTTTCTCCTTATTTCATTCTCTTTCTTTCTTCCTTCCTTTCCTTTTCTCTTCTTTCTCTTCCTTCCTACCTCTTTTTTCCTTTCTTATTTTCAACTTTCTTTTTTTCCCTTTCCATTGCTGAACTATAAGCAATAAGAAACATAACCAGCTCAGACAATCACACATTTTCCAAAAGCCTATGAGGCAAATTCTGTATGGTGAAATTTAGAACCGTTTTGAACCTCTATAATTTGAATAAAAAATTTTGAACATATCAAACCCTGTAGAAGTATGTAAAGGAAGCAACAGATAATAAAATATAACTAAAACATAAACACTTTGGAATTTTTGGACAAGAAATATTCAAATAGATAATATCAATAAATATAAGCTAATTTAACAAATTTTCAATCTATGTACAACAGAACTGGTGAAATTCAATATTAAAACAAATTTAAATTATAGTTCTTTAAAAAGTGAGTAATATAGTTAAGAATTCGATATATTTAGGTGAATTGAAAAACTGAAACCTACATTGATAATATATAGTTAATTGAAGCACAAATAAGCAACACTGAAATGTAATATACTAAACAGAGTATAAAGGATGTGCAGGATCTCATGTAATGGAAAATTATATATGTAAATAAAATTTAGTAGAGGAAGAAAATAAAGCAGGAATCATTTTTTTTTTTGGTACCAGGGATCGAACTCAGGACCTTGTGCTTGAAAGGCAAGTGGGAGAACCACTGAGTTAAATCCCCAGCCCAAAAAATAATTTTTGATTAGAAAATATTTTGTATTTTTTCAAAACTAATAAAAGACATATGTCCACTAATTGTAAATATTATTCACTGCTTAGAGGAAGAAGGCCAATTAAAATTGCATGTAGATGGAACACAGTAGCAGCAAATGACATGCAAAGCCAAATTCTTTTTTTTTTTTTGGTACCAGGGATAGAACTCGGATCCTTGCACTTGCACAGCAGGCAGTGAAACCACTGAGCTAAATCCCCAGCCCTCAAATTCTTAATTTAGGTAAATTACATAAATATGTTACCTACAAAGAGAAATTATAAGCCTGACAGGAAATCTCCTCAACAGAAAGAGAACTGGAAGAAAATGTAATGATATGTTAAGGACAGATTATTAATAACTATCATTCTTGAATTTCTAACAATCAAAATTGCTCACATAACATAAAGAAATATAAGTAAAAGAAGAAATATTCTCTTAAGCATACATAAAATAAAAGTAAAAATTACAGGAGAAATAGTAAATCATTTATTTTTCAATTGTTCAAAATAAGGAATGTTTGATATATTCAGAAAGAAAAGTGATTGAGAAAAAACATGTACATTCAAAAGTAATTAAAATAAAATTGAGTGTTAATCACGTGCTTATAAAAATGATAATTCTGTTTGAGGATTTCATATACAGAAAATTAGAAACATGACAAGCCTATCATAAAAAAATGTACGCAAAATACATACCTCGAGGGTACTAAGCTTACTGGGAAAGAATACTAAAATATATTGAAAAAGAACGTCATGAGTCAGTGAAGCTGAAAACATCAGAAAACATAAAGGTTGAATGAGTGATGGAGCAACGGGAAGCAAAAGCTTGAATTTTGGAATAGTGATATCTCTTCTGTGACCCAGCAGTACTGGTCCTAGCTGTGTACCCAACCAGTCTGACTATTCTTGTAGATCAGTCAAGGCAAGGCAAACACTTCTTTGTGTAACAATAGACAGCCAATATTTTGGATTCCGGATGCCTTATTATCTGTATCTCCACACTGAATTCTGCCATTGTGTTGTCAAAGCAGGTCCACAATTTAATTGGTGTGAATGTTTTCTCTAGAATATTATTTTCCAAAAACTAATGGACAGGTTTGTGTAAATCTGCTAGGATATTAAGCAGCAGCAATTATTCTTTTCTTTTCTCAGCATTAGTGCAGGACTATATATATGTTCCTTTCCCTTTGAGTATGCTTACCAACATTGTTTGTTCTGAGCTCACTTTGGACACAGTGTATATCTGTGCCCATTGGGATTGGCCATATTCAAAGGTAAACATTGGTTAAAAAACTAAATAACAGTTGATGATGGAGCCTCCAACTGAACCATAGTGAGTTTCACAATTGTATCTACAGTACATTTCTATGGAGGGACAAAGATGATCATAGAACATACAGAGTTACTATCCATAGAATGGTCACATTTATTCTATAAAGTTCAAAATCATTTACTCAGGAAAAGAAGTTCAGATTAAACCTGCACTGTGCACACATATGATAGTAACTATCCACGAAGTTAGCAATCCCAGCCCATAACTAGTTCCTTCGTTATGAACAAGAGTCAAGAAATAAATTTTTATAGGTAAGACTTTTGGAAAGGGCAGGGCAGAAAAAAGAAAGAAGTAAGGAAGGAATAAAAAAGAAAGAAAAAACGAACAGGGAGCTCATGTTACTGTAGAGGAATGGAAACAAAACAAAAATAAAAATGGGATGTCTCTTTTCATGATTTGCACCATAACTTGTTATCATGTCATATGTATACAATTAAGAAAGTATTGAATGGACCTGAGCCTTGTAAACAGAACAAGAGTTTCACTGTCAAAGGCCATGATTGGATGATGGAATCCTGACATAAGAACAAAATTATTTCAATTATGAAAAACTTGTTTTCTCGATTAGTAAAGATCTTGATGACACTGTCTGAAGCACATGATGCTGCATTTCCTGTGGTTTCCCTTACCCAGCACTGAAGATGTATAAAAAGCCCTTGGAAAACTGTGACATTCATACTTCAGATACCAATTTCTCCTCCTAGTGAATCGAACAGTCCACTCCTGACAACATGAGCTACTACAGCAGCTACTATGGTGGCCTGGGCTATGGCTATGGTGGCCTAGGCTGTGGCTCTGGCTATGGCTATGGCTGTGGCTCTGGCTATGGTGGCTATGGCAGCTGTGGTTATGGCTGTCACCACCCGCTGTGCTGTAAAAGATACTGGTCCTATGGCTGCTACTGAGGAATTTCCACAGCTTCTTAGCCTATTGGCTATACCTTCCTATTTTAATGTAATTATCATGTGAAGAAAATTATCAATTTTCTTCACATGATAAATTTCTCAATATTTTCAAAACGCCAACAATATACTGAACTATTTAGAAACAAAAAATCCACCGTGGTTTTTGACTCATCAGTAGTTACTGGATAATGGGATAGTTTATAGCAATGTTTCTGGAAATTTTTTATAAATCTATATAAAATATCATCAAATTGGACTTTCAATTTTTCTATAAACAGATGTATTACTAAATAAACAATATTTCTTTACAATTATTGCTTTGTGACTTTTCTCTCACCTTTGGACTTTGCTTATATATTTGTGTGTTTGTGTGTATTTGATCACATTTGTGTGATGACTGAGTTGTGGAAGAGAACAAGATTAAGAGAGGGATAAAAAGGAAGACAGGAGAAACTGATGGGGGGTAGAAGGGAGGGAGAGAGGAATGAAACTCTTTTGCAATAATTAGTTTGTAAACTTCATCAAAGTATCATTTCTTTTGGGTCATACAGATTTGTTTTCGTATGTCTTTTAATCTCAACTATGATTTTCATTCACTTATGCTTTTTTTCATAAGTGCTTTTTCAAAAATAAAATCTGTATTGATGTCTGATCATTTAAAATTGTGTGTATCTCTATGCTTTGGTTTATTTGTAACACCTGTGGTTGGATTACATCAGCTAGAGCACTACCTCCAAAAACATTTCTCATTAAAAAAAAAAAATTCCACCTGAAGAATGATTCCAGATGTTGTCTTAGACATGTTTCTTACTGCTTTGACAAAATACCCAAAACCCACAACATAAAGGAAGAAAGGTTCACATTGCCTCATGATAGTCTAGCTCTGCGGAAGATACAGCATACTGAAAAGGTCTGGGCAGAGCTTAAGCTGCTCATCTCTTGGCAGGCATGAAGAAGAGAGAGAACGGTGGAGAGGAAAGGAGGTACACTGTTCAGGTCACAGCCCTAACCAGTCCCCACACCCTAACAGCACACTCAGTTGCTGAAACATGAGCCTATAAATAAACTAAAGAATATCCCACACCCATTGTCCACTCAGTTTCAAAAGTTCTGCCTCCTTAGGGGGACATTCTAGATCTAACCATCACAGGTGTTACCATATTGAAAACATCAGCAATAATAACGACATTCTGCCTTGGACACATAGTACCATATAGAGCCTCAATATAACAATTTGAAGATTCAGAAAACCATGTATGTGTTACAATTCCTCCCATTGTAAAAGAGATTTAGTTTCATTTGGGAACTCCAACTGGCACTATCAAATACACTAAAATGCAGATAAAATATGTTAGGAATAAGACACAAATGTGTTGAAGATGGAAAAATGTTGGAAAAGTTGATGGAAATTCCATCTTTGTTGATTCTAGGAGGATGGGACAAAAGGGTTGCTGGGGGAAGTAAAATCAACAGAATTTTGTATGCCTATTCCCCCCAAGCATAGCAAACTACACCAGTGGAAACATAAAACCACCCTGAAAATGACATACTATTACAAGCCGTATATTAACACAAAGCAAGGTCTTTCATGAAGACACAACAAACTCTAAAATTACAGGAATCTGTTTATTAAGAGAAGAAGCAGAATCATTTGAAAAATAGAAATTTTGTCCACATAAAGCTGATGAGAAATAATTTTTAAAAAGCATTAGAGTTCAGAAATTGCTACAAAGTACCCTTAACTGGAAAGGGAGGCGCCCTTACAGGGTGGGCCCTAATAGACATAGATGGTATCCTGGTGAGGAGTCTCGTTTCATGTTAATTTTTTATTGAATTTTGGCAATCAGATACTTTTCTTTTCTTTTTTCTCTTTCTTTTCTTTCTTTCTCTTTTCTTTCTTTCTCTCTTCTTTCCCCTTTTTCTTTTTTCTCATTCTTTCTTCTTTCCCTTTTCCTTTCTTTTAGATTGATTTTGTTATTCTGTACAAGAGCCTCTAAAACTTCTGAGCTCAAGTGATACTTGCATTTTAGCCTCTAGAATAACCAAAGGACAAGCAAGAATCACACAACCAGCTCAGGAAATCAGACAGTTTCTCAGAGCCTATGAGAAACCCTGAAAACCTCTGCAGTGAAACACAGTACTTTTTTGGATCCATTAAAATAAATACAAAATGTAGAGAATATGAAGCCCTGTTGAAAGTCTGAAAAACAAGTAACATAATAAAAGCCAACCAAAATAAACCAACATATTGGAGTTTGCAGACAAGAAATTTTCAAATCAACATAATTTATAAATATAAGATATTAAAGAAAATTTGCAAAATAAATATTAAACTGAAGAAATTCATCATAGAATCAACTTTAAATTCTAGTTGTCAAAAAAGTGAAAAATTTACTACTTAAGAATTCAATAAACTTAGTTATTAAACTGAAATCTACATTGATAATATATGCTGAACTGAACCAAAAATATAAAAAATTGCAATATAAAATACTGAAGAAAATATATGATATGAATGTTATGTCAGATCTCATGAAATGACAAACCTACATATAAGTAGAAGTCAGTAGAAGAAGAAAAAAATCCAAAACCATTTTTTGAGTAAAAAATTATTGTATAGTTTTTCAAAATTAGTGAAAGCCATGTCCACAAATTTTAAAAGCTATTCACTGCCAAGAGGGGTAATGCCAATTAAAACACGTGTTGGCTTAACTCATTACCTCAAAATTTAGTGCAAAGCCAAAATATCAATTTTGGCAGATAAAATAAATGTTAATTACAAAGAGAAATAGTAAAGCTGAAATCACAATTCCTTTACAAAAAGAAAGAGAGCTAGAAGAAATGTAATGATACTTAGAAGACTGTAGATGAAACACCGTCAATCTAGAAATTCATGCAATCATAATTGCTATAAATAAAGTAAAAAGTATGTTAATAAAACATCAAATATTTTCTTATAAGTAAAGAAAATAAAAACAAAAGTTACATGAAAATAATA